GCTTGGAGTAATCACGATTGTGATCTAAAAATTTATTTTTTGTCTTAAGTTTTATCTAAATTTTCAAATTTGAAAGAGGTTAATTAGGTTTAAGATCAAATTTTTGAGAATTTCAAAATTCTTATAAATTCAGCTCTTGGGCGCGAAGCATTGGACATCGATATGCAGACTTGATAATTGGAACCAAAAAGAGTCCATGGACCATTAATTACTGTTACAAACCAATCAAAGACTAAAGACTGATTGAGATTCATTCAGTTGAGCAGATTTTTCATTTCCTTACAAATAGTGTTGATTTACATAATTGTTGGAAGGTTATTTTCTTGAATCTGTTGGCGATAGATTTGCTCAACTTCAAGATGAACTTGAAAGAGATTTGGTAACCTTTTTGTCATTTACTTTCTGCTTTAATATTCTGTTTTATCATGAAGGATTTTCTGAAATATCTGTGATAATTGTGATGAAAGTTAACTCTCTTGAAAAACTAACAGATTTGGAAGATTACTTTTGATTCCTTATGATTAATTGTTGCGAACGAGACAAAACTTTTCCTTCTTTGATCAAGATAAATGTACTCTTTTTGATATCCAAATCTTAATACACTTTCCTTGATCATAAACTTCATCATTTGGAAAAGGGGCCAAAAAATGAATCTTAATCTGCAAGGTTTACCTTAGCAGCTCTAGTAATGTCTTGGGTTGACTTTAAGCAACATTTTTTGTCAATTGTTATCTCATTTTGAGTTATTAGATTAGAGTTTGAGAGAAGCTGAAAAAGGTTCAGTTTGCTTCATTATTTGTTGAACCAACAACAACACAGTCAAAACAAAATATACTAGCAAGTTGGGGTGAACTTAGGGTGAACCATTTAAGGTGAGATGAAATTGTGATTTAACTTATTACATTTGGAAGTCTTTTTTTTTTGTTTCCAGCCTGAGCTTCTGGGAGGAAATCAGAGGAAACAATACATTTATATATTACATACATTTAAACCTGTTTTTTCATTGAAACTTTCATTTACTCTATTAGCTTATTGTGCGATGGATTTGCTTTGTTTCTCCTTTGTTTCTCTTCTTATTTACTTCTTTTCTCAATTTTTGTTTTTTCCTTTTTTTCTCTCCTCAGTTTCAAGTTCCTCTTTAATATCACTTTAACCTTAATCCAATGTGATATCTTAATAGTTTGAACAGTTTTTCTGCTTCTCTCAGCTTCTAATGTTTACCATAACTGACAGTGAACATACAAAATGGTTAAACATTTAACAATCGTAAAAAGACTTGAAAACTTTCTCCATCATCAGATTACCCTCTTTATCCAAAAGTCTTCATGATAATCTGTTCATCAACCAATTCACTGTCAATATGTTTCACCATTCAATCCAACTAAACAGTTCTTACAAGTAAGGGAAAACTCGATTACTTCAACATTCAGGTTTATCAATAATGTTGATGAATTGGTTGAAAGTCAATGGTAAATGGCTTTCAACGGTTTGTTTCCTTTACTTGTAACAAACCTTGGATACCAATAACGAGAACCATTGTTGAACAATTAATTGATAATCCTTGTTAATTGTTATCAAATGATGGAAAGCCAAACGAGTAAATCTAAATGAAATTGAAGGTAAAAAGAAGAAGCAAGTTATCACTTGAACACAGGGAGGAAGAAAAAAAAGATGCAAAGAAAATGAAGAGACAGGCAATTTGAGAAGACAGTGAATTGGAAAAGGAAATTTTAATTAAAATCAGCTCTATTTTGATTCACATGGAAGAGAGAAAGAGAAAGATGATGATGAGGAAGACAAAAAGAAAAGAGAGAAAAGAGGAAAAAAAATCTGCAGAGAGTGAAAGATTGACTCGCTAATCCATTCAATTACCACTTTTTATATGCATATGTATTTGGAAGCATCTCAAGAATACCTTTTAGTATTCAGTCTTGATCAAAGTCAACCCTTTCCTTACAAGTGAGTTGAAGATGAGAAGGATGAGAGAAAGGATAAGATGCTATTCAAGAGCAATATTTTTCTTCTTACCAACTTTTTTTTCCTTTGCTCTTCACTAAACATTTACCATTGAATTTGAGCTTTTTTTCTCTTCTTTTCATTCTTCTTCTTCATTCATCTTCTTTTTGCTTTCTTACTGAGCGTACAAAATTTAATTAACAATCTGTTAATTATCTTCTCATTCCTATCAGTTAACTTTACCTTTCTTATTGGTTTTCGGTTACTGGCAAAGTAACAACTTGTTAAGCATTTTAACGCTCTGTTCAACTATGTGAGTTTAAGTCTGAGAGGGGAAAAAAGGTTCATTTAACATGGAAATGAATCAGTGTAATCAGCTAATGATTATTGTTATTATCGGGATAACAAATGATCAAATGGTAAATTGTGTTCAACTTGATCAGGCTAAAATTCATGCTTTTGCTCGAAACTCATTTTTCGCTTCTTTTTCTGTTGGCAAATTTTTCACCCTTTTTCATCGATTGAAATTGGTTGAAATGGATTTGTGAATTTTAATGGAAAAGAAATCAAAGTTGATTTCAAATTGTTGAAAGTTTGATGAAGAAACAAAACTTACAGTTCAAATGGTATTCATGGAAGCGTTTTGTTTCTTTTCAGTTTTGCAGGGTAAAATGCATTTTGAACTGTTGAAAAGTGGATAGAGAAATGTAAAGGGAAAAATTTTCAATATTGTATTCACAGTTGTGGATAATCAGTTATCAAAGTGAAAATGTTTGATATGTTAATGAAAATAACAGTCAATTTCATGTACATTTTTTTTCTCAATGAAATTCAGCCCAAAACTTGGAAATATTTCATTTCTTTTTTGCTCCCTGTCAGTCAACAGAATTAAATGCTTGCTTTTTTTATACCCAAAAATATTAATAATACAATATTAATGTGATAACAATATCAGGGAAGAAGGAAAAGGGAAACAGAATTATAATTAAATGAAGATAAATGAAACATATAAAATGATAATGAAATGGAAAAATGATTATATCATTGTTAGTGCTGTTCAATTTGAATGTGAATAAAAGCCAAAATGGTCCAAATTGACTACATTAAGTAGCTTCTTATATTGAACCGCTTTTTTGTTTAGCTTATTTTGCACAATCAAATTAGTTAATGATAATTCAACTATTCAACACCTGTGAGTATTTAAACCCTCAATTGATTAGTTTTGGCTTTCCAATTCACAAATTAGCTCAATATGAATACAATAAATTGATGGTCAATAGTTGGAGTTGATTCATTGAGATGAGGCAGATGAAGGGCTAAATTTGATGGGAAACCAGGCAGGTTCAGCGGTTCATTTTAATTTACATAACAAGTGTTCATCAATGACAACAACCTGGAGATAGAAAGTAGTTAATGATTAATAATAATGGCTTCTCAATGAACCTGATAATCAGGTAAAGTGTTGACATGCATTTTACCTTTAACATGGTTTTTGGTGAATCTCTTTGAGTATCAATTAACAGAAACATTTCAAGATGAAGATGAATGAATTGAATGTTGAAGAAAGAAAAAGAAAAGCAAGATCAATGTAGAAACATTTGTGCCGTGAAGTTGATAGAAATAACTGTTTTCATGTGTGAAGGCAAGATATTGAAATACTGAGTAGTAGTGGTGGAAAGGAGGACATTTTTGACAGTTATCAGCTGAAAAAGTATGAAAAATTAGACAGGGTAATTAAAGTTCTGTGAGATTTCAAAATTTGATTGGCATTTCCGTTGTTCATCGAATAGCTGTGGATATACAGGGTTGGGTATTTATTATGACAAAATAGTAAAGTAACTATGAAATGGTGTCTTTTAGAACGCATTATTTGGATATGAAAATTAACAAAGAACAAAGAAAGCGCGCATATTTCAATTATCATAAATATACTTATAAGAGCCACCACCAGCATAATAATCAACGAAAATCATGGACAAAAGGAGAATATAGAAGAAAAGAATGAAGATGAAAATAGAAAGATGGTTTCAGTATATTAAGGTGCTGGAAATCAAACTATTTTAGTTATTTTTCAACTTTCAGGTTGATGTTACATACATAATGTACTATTATATCACAAATATATTATATTGTTATGATAATAAAGGTGTTGAACTACTCAATCAATGACCCGCTGCCATCTTCCGGATAGCGTTTGTATAGACTTCATAGATTCACTCTAATTGAGCTCACGTCGACTTGACTTACAAGGTAAGGTGCTTACGTGTCAGTACTATTTTTTTCGGACTTATATTGCGATGAAAAAAATCAAACAACTTTAAATGCGTTCACGTCAGGAAAATGCATTAGGCATTGTGGTAAAAACTGCAAAGTGGTCATACATAGTCTTTTTCGTGATATACAAAGTGGAATCCACTTTTTGAATAATTTGCGCATTTCATTATCAAATGGATAAATTAATCAATTTCTGATTACAAACTGTGAACTCATGCATTTTGAGTCAAAATATCTAATTTAGATAATAATATCAAATAGCTAATTATCTGCGCAATTGATTTAAAAAGTGGATTTAACTTTCAAACACGACTGTATTATACGTACATATTTAAATTTTTCACTTGCGATTGAATGATTTAAATACACTGGTAAATTTGCTTAAAACACTCAATCTAACAAAGAGTTCATTTGGAAATCAAAAGCAAGATTACGGGACTAATGGTTTTCATTCTCTACAATTAAAACCAGAAAAATTGTGGAAAATCGTGCCACTAAGGATAATTCCTTTTTAGATACATGTTTGATACAATTTTATTGAAATAAAATGTATCAATGATATGTTGGCTCGAACCATCAATAAAATTGTGGAAAAAATTATCTTTTTCTAATGAATTCCTAAGTAACATGATCCGTTTTTCATTCATTTCGTAAAAAAGAGCAAAACAAAAAAAAGAAATACAGCTTTAATACATCCGCAAATGAATAGAGTTGCTTATAACATCGCACTGTCAGATGAGCCGAGTAGAATTAAATCGATTGCAAACAGATTCTGAGTAAAATTATAGCTTTATTACTTGACTAAGCACATAAGTACAGATTTTTCGGGATTTCAATAACAAACACAAGTTTTCCCTGATTCATTTGTGTACTTCAAATATGCTGGCACTGTAGATCCTGAAGCTGCTGATCCTGATGAACCTGAACCTGATGAACCAGATCCTTGTCCTGATCCTGAGCCAGATGATCCTGAACCTGAAGCTGCTCCTGATGCAGCTGCTGCTGATGATCCTGAACCTGATCCTGATGATGCTGAGTTAGGTGAGTTACTGGTTGATGTTGATGTTGTTGGTCCTGATGATGAATCTGAAGCTGCTGCTGATGATGCTGCTGCTGAACTTGAAGCTGCTGATGATGATCCTGATCCAGTATTTGATGCTGGTGCAGGTGCAGATGATGAGTCTGAAGCTGCTGCTGCTGCTGCTGAACTTGATGCTGCTGATCCTGAAGCTGCTGATCCTGATGAACCTGAACCAGATGATCCTGAACCTGATGAACCAGATCCTTGTCCTGATCCTGAGCCAGATGATCCTGAACCTGAAGCTGCTCCTGATGAAGCTGCTGCTGATGATCCTGAACCTGATCCTGATGATGCTGAGTTAGGTGAGTTACTGGTTGATGTTGATGTTGTTGGTCCTGATGATGAATCTGAAGCTGCTGCTGATGATGCTGCTGCTGAACTTGAAGCTGCTGATGATGATCCTGATCCAGTATTTGATGCTGGTGCAGGTGCAGATGATGAGTCTGAAGCTGCTGCTGCTGCTGCTGAACTTGATGCTGCTGATCCTGAAGCTGCTGATCCTGATGAACCTGAACCAGATGATCCTGAACCTGATGAACCAGATCCTTGTCCTGATCCTGAGCCAGATGATCCTGAACCTGAAGCTGCTCCTGATGAAGCTGCTGCTGATGATCATGATGCTGAGTTAGGTGAGTTACTGGTTGATGTTGAGGTTGTGTGTCCTGATGATGAATCTGAAGCTGCTGATGATGATCCTGATCCAGTATTTGATGCTGGTGAGAGTGCAGATGATGAGTCTGAAGCTGCTGCTGCTGCTGCTGAACTTGATGCTGCTGATCCTGAAGCTGCTGATCCTGATGAACCTGAACCAGATGATCCTGAACCTGATGAACCAGATCCTTGTCCTGATCCTGAGCCAGATGATCCTGAACCTGAAGCTGCTCCTGATGAAGCTGCTGCTGATGATCCTGAACCTGATCCTGATGATGCTGAGTTAGGTGAGTTACTGGTTGATGTTGATGTTGTTGGTCCTGATGATGAATCTGAAGCTGCTGCTGATGATGCTGCTGCTGAACTTGAAGCTGCTGATGATGATCCTGATCCAGTATTTGATGCTGGTGCAGGTGCAGATGATGAGTCTGAACCTGATCCTGATGATGCCGAGTTAGGTGAGTTACTGGTTGATGTTGATGTTGTTGGTCCTGATGATGAATCTGAAGCTGCTGCTGATGATGCTGCTGCTGAACTTGAAGCTGCTGATGATGATCCTGATCCAGTATTTGATGCTGGTGCAGGTGCAGATGATGAGTCTGAAGCTGCTGCTGCTGCTGCTGAACTTGATGCTGCTGATCCTGAAGCTGCTGATCCTGATGAACCTGAACCAGATGATCCTGAACCTGATGAACCAGATCCTTGTCCTGATCCTGAGCCAGATGATCCTGAACCTGAAGCTGCTCCTGATGAAGCTGCTGCTGATGATCCTGAACCTGATCCTGATGATGCTGAGTTAGGTGAGTTACTGGTTGATGTTGATGTTGTTGGTCCTGATGATGAATCTGAAGCTGCTGCTGCTGCTGAACTTGATGCTGCTGATCCTGAAGCTGCTGATCCTGATGAACCTGAACCAGATGATCCTGAACCTGATGAACCAGATCCTTGTCCTGATCCTGAACCAGATGATCCTGAACCAGATGAACCAGATCCTTGTCCTGATCCTGAGCCAGATGATCCTGAACCTGAAGCTGCTCCTGATGAAGCTGCTGCTGATGATCCTGAACCTGATCCTGATGATGCTGAGTTAGGTGAGTTACTGGTTGATGTTGATGTTGTTGGTCCTGATGATGAATCTGAAGCTGCTGCTGATGATGCTGCTGCTGAACTTGAAGCTGCTGATGATGATCCTGATCCAGTATTCGATGGTGGTGCAGGTGCAGATGATGAGTCTGAAGCTGCTGCTGCTGCTGCTGAACTTGATGCTGCTGATCCTGAAGCTGCTGATCCTGATGAACCTGAACCAGATGATCCTGAACCTGATGAACCAGATCCTTGTCCTGATCCTGAGCCAGATGATCCTGAACCTGAAGCTGCTCCTGATGAAGCTGCTGCTGATGATCCTGAACCTGATCCTGATGATGCTGAGTTAGGTGAGTTACTGGTTGATGTTGATGTTGTTGGTCCTGATGATGAATCTGAAGCTGCTGCTGATGATGCTGCTGCTGAACTTGAAGCTGCTGATGATGATCCTGATCCTGTATTTGATGCTGGTGCAGGTGCAGATGATGAGTCTGATGCTGCTGCTGCTGCTGCTGAACTTGATGCTGCTGATCCTGAGCTGCTGATCCTGATGAACCTGAACCAGATGATCCTGAACCTGATGAACCAGATGCTTGTCCTGATCCTGATGCTGATGATGCTGATCCTGAGCTGCTCCTGATGAAGCTGCTGCTGATGATCCTGACCTGATCCTGATGATGCTGAATCAGGTGATTTACTGGTTGATGTTGTGATGTTGGTCCTGATGATGAATCTGAAGCTGCTGCTGATGATGCTGCTGCTGAACTTGAAGCTGCTGATGATGATCCTGATCCAGTATTTGATGCTGGTGCAGGTGCAGATGATGAGTCTGAAGCTGCTGCTGCTGCTGCTGAACTTGATGCTGCTGATCCTGAAGCTGCTGATCCTGATGAACCTGAACCAGATGATCCTGAACCTGATGAACCAGATCCTTGTCCTGATCCTGAGCCAGATGATCCTGAACCTGAAGCTGCTCCTGATGAAGCTGCTGCTGATGATCCTGAACCTGATCCTGATGATGCTGAGTTAGGTGAGTTACTGGTTGATGTTGATGTTGTTGGTCCTGATGATGAATCTGAAGCTGCTGCTGATGATGCTGCTGCTGAACTTGATGCTGCTGATCCTGAAGCTGCTGATCCTGATGAACCTGAGCCAGATGATCCTGAACCTGAAGCTGCTCCTGATGACGTTGTTGAGCCATGTGAATTTAATTGCTTGCTAGAGTCAGCGTATGATGATGTAGATGATCCTGAATTCCATGAGATATTACTTGAGGAACCTGATTCTTGTCCTGATGACGGGTTTGAACCATGTGAATTTATTGGTTTGTTTGGGCCTACATCTGATGATGTTGCAGACGATGATGATCCTGAACCAGATGATCCGTTACCTGATGCCAGTGAAGGTGGTCCTGATGGTGGGCTAGATTGAGCACCTGTATGATGTCCTGAAGTGGCTTTAGATGTAGATGCAGAGGCAGATTTTGAGCCAGAGTTTCCATCAATTCCGAATGGTTTTAGCATATTACCTAAGCCAATTTTCATGTGCGGAAGTCCAAATAGACTATTGGCATTGGTTTGCTGTACTGCTGTTAAAGCAGTTATAACTAAGCACAAAGTTAAAAGTTTTGAATTCATTTTGTTTGTTGTGTTCGATAAAATCGATTGATATCTTCTTGTAATTTGCTTCAACTTTTATACTTCAAGAAAAACTGAAATTTACTTGATAATGTTTGCGTTTTTGCTGTGCAAATACAAAGCTTTGACAACAATGTTTTAGCATTTTGATTCGAATAATTCAATATTATGCTTATAAAAAGTTATCTTGCATATCATTTACAAGGCACAAGTACTTGAAAGCCACGCACTGGAATTTGAAATGAAATATCAAAGTTCAGTCATTACTTGATTCAGTTAGAACATTTAGAACATTGTAAAATTTTATATTGATCCAGGTGTTCATTTAAACAAGCAATCGCTTATTCCGTTTCCTCTGCCCTTGGTATCAGAATTATAGATTCAATCTTCTTATTCTAAATTAAATAAAGATTGTTGTCTGAATGAGCTTTCCTAGCATTCAAATTATAATAATTATTTACAAAACTGTGCACACACAGTATATGAATGTTCTTGAGATGGTGAGACTGTTTTTAATGCCAACATGAAAAGAATGAAAACAAAAATAAATCGTTGAATAAATAACAGTTAGTCAGAGAAGGTTCGAGGTTAACATGATTTATTTAATTGTCTAATGGTCTATGTAAATGTTTTTGACCATTGTTCTGTTGATTGTCGAATCAAATATTCCTCCAGAGAGAAAAAAATAAGAAGAGAAACATATTGAGGCATATTCATTCTGCCGACATGGATTTCAAAATCTGTAGTGGAGTTATACGTATCAGTCTGACTAACAGACGGAACTGAATAAGTTTGAAAATCAATTCAGAAATTAAAATTCTTATGGCGAATCTTGAATCAATAGTGAATCAAGGGGAAACAAAACGATTAGCTTTAGCGTGCACACCGAACTTATTACCTAAATATATTTCATCTGTTTTCTATGTGTCCCATAGGCCAGCTCTTCCTGAAAGCTCACAAATATCTCATAGCTGTAGAGGTTTCAAAAAGTTCCAGCTTCGGAAAATGAAACTTGTAAATGCCAGATCAAGAGCATATACTTCCATATTGTAAGATGCTAGGTCTCAATGGATGTCCCTCAAACTCAGCTTGCAAAAAGTGTAATCAGTATACTGTGAACCCGCTCATATTGTCACCCTCTCAAAATGTCCGTGGTCATAGTAACAAAATAAACAATTAAGTTTAATTCAACTTTTTTAATTAATTAAATTTCGAGAGGACTCTAATTATGTTTTTAATGCGGCTTGATTTACCAATTGGGTAGATAAACATGAAAAATCACAAAATTAAATTAAAAATTCATGTTTTTTGTAAAATTAAATTCTTAGAACGGCTATTTCACCTAAATATTATAGAAAAATAGCCGAAATGCTAATCCCACGACGTGACAATATGAGAGGGTTCACAGTACCAATGACTAAATGAATGACCACGATTGTTGAGAGTTGCTAGGCGCTTAGGTTAAGTAATGAGATCGAGTCATCACTATTTAAAGCTGTTATACACATTAGATCAACGTACATATCGAGACCTACAGAGGCTCAAGTTATTTACATGTTAGAGAAGGCATCGAATATATGCAAATTGAAATCAAATCAATTTAGTTTAACTTTGTATTTCAATCTTTTGGTCGCAATATAACCAGACTCTATTTATAATTCATGGTTAACCCTGTATATGATGACAGCGTGATGAGTTGATGATTTTTGAAGCTTCAAAAAATGCAATCTTCAAGTCTCATGTATCTTTGTAGCTTTCAGTCAGCAAAGATTATTCAAAGTGTCTTGAGATGAAAATGATGAAAGAGAGGAAAAGGTGATGAACAAGATGAGAAGAGACATTATTTTCTGTCTTTTCTGCATTTCCCTTCTACACATTTGAGTCTATTTTTTTCTCCTTATCAGTTTACAAAGTAAGATTCTGGTCTTATTCAGTATCATCGGTGGTAAATGTGACATCTCTTTTTTCCTGAGAAGCAGAAAAAGTTGATTCTAAAGTGTAAAAGTTATTCTTTGTCATCAACAGTATTATTATAACTATTACATCTTTATCAAGATCCTTCTGTTCATCATTTCTTTTTCTTCTCCATGCTTATTCATCTTTTTCATGACTAAAATCAAAATTCAACATTTCTTTGATTTCTTCATCTGATTACAAATTATAACCTTTCTTTGCTTCCTTTATACTTTTGGTAATGATAAAAGCTGAACAAGTCAAGAGTATGAAAGCTTGACTCGAATCAATGTCATCAAATCATGTGCTTCAACTAAGACATTTCAAGAACCAAATTCATTGAGATATTATTTTTTCAAATCTCAACATAACGAAAAAATAGACTTTTTGATGTCAACAAAAAAATATCTTTCATTTTCACAAATATTTCAAACAAATACAAAAATGTAAATCTGTTGTAGGTTAATCATTGAAATACAAGTTGTTAAAGTAATCAAGGAAATGTTATTAAAAATATGTATGCAATAGTCGCTGAATAAAAGCTATGTTATATGCTAATATTGGTAAAGCATATGAAATAGCTTACACTGGTTGAAATAATGTTTCTCATGAACTTAGTTTTCTCTCTTTTTGTTTTCTCGAGAATTAACCATTTTATATCCTTCATTCCCATGAGCCTTCGTTTAGTTATTCAGATATTTTGAGAATTTGAATTCCTTCTCCGGTGATTATAACAAAGTGATTGGATCTAAATTATAAAGCAAAAAGAAAAGAAGAGTTTAGTCAAAAGGAATTGAAATAAGGGAATGAAAATAAATTATTTGCTCTTCTGATCCCTTTCTTGCCACCATAAGAGTAACAAAATATTTTATATGTTTGGAGTGTGAAAAATATAGAACTGAGTCAAGATGATTTCAGATGATAATTAAGATACAGAATGATGATTATAAATCTGGCAAGGAATTGACTAACTTGAATGTGAGGATTGCTGCCGATGAAATGTCAGCCACAGAGATTAGATGAGATGAAACAGGATTGATTGTTATATCTTTACAATCAGCATCAATTGAATAGTTCCACAGTTTAAGTCGCTGGTCAATTGAGCATGTGATAAGTGATACATCATTGATAATTGACACAACTGGATTAAGGGTGAAATAAGAAGGAAAAAAATGAAAAGAATATTAATGAATAAGAAGATTGAAGGTGAATCAGACACTTATTGATTAAAATGAATAAAGATGTTGAAACTATTTTCAACTCTTTTTTTCCTTCCTCTGCATTACCTGAAATTTGTGAGCTATGGATATAATTTAATTTCTTTTGAGTTATTAGATTAACAAGGTTACCATCCAATTTGATTAGGGTTGCAGTTAATATTGTATCATCTCCGGTGGATAAAATTAACCAAACATTATCTAAAGTGAAAAGAGGAGACAATTTTATTTGAAAAAGAGTGAAAATGATGAGGATTTAATGTGAATGGATAATTACCATGGATTTGTCTTGAACTTATGCAATTAATTCCCGATTGATGAGCTAATTGCTCATATATCTTGATAAAGGTTGGATTCGGGGAAATGTTTAAACCTTTCATTTGGGATTCAAGAGATGAATCTTGAATCATTAATTGGTTATTAATATTCCATAGGTGAAGATAACCATCCGTTGATCCGGTTATAAATGTTTCATTAATACGATTAACTACTAATGGACAGTAATTGGAAACTGCAACTTCACCAATAAAATTAATTTCATTGGCAGCTAATGAAAAGAGTTTTAAATTTGAATCTGAACACGCAACAGTTATCATGTAAATGTCTTCATTTGCTTTCCATTTATCGATGTTGATTGATAAATATCGAGATTTTGGATCATTGGTTATTTCAAGATCTTTCCAGGATTTACGTTTCCCTGTGTTTCCATTGGGATCGAGAAAATTGTTGGCTACTTGAGAGATTATCAGTCGATCCAGCCTTTTCCTTAATAACCAAACAATTAATTGTGATTGACCACCACCAGATACTATTAATAAACTGCCATCTTTGTTTTGTATGGACGAAACAGCTCGAACGGCAGAAATGTGTCCTTTACAACAATCTTTGACTTGCAAAGTGCCAGTAATTGTATTGAATTCACTTATTAATATGTTGTTGTCTTCACCTCCAGTGACAATTAAACCAACAGGTTCGACGTAATCAATCAAGCAACAACAATTGATCCTGTTAGAATGAAATTCCTGTTTAATAAATGGTCCACAAGTTTGATAAGCAGAAACGGAATGAGAAACGAAATGTAATTCCGATTGTTTGGTGAAACAAAAATTGAACCGATTATCAATTTTGTTGAAATTCCATAAGCGATGTCCACCTCCACAGTCAATTGTGCAAAGAATTGATTGATCACTTTGCTGCCAAACAATGAGGTTTGTTGATGAGAATCCTATTAAAAATAGATTTCCATAATTATCGAATAATATTCGCTCGATCCAGTCAAAGTCAGTTCCTTGAAATAAAAGGTAAATAAAATTAGGTTGTTGGAATAAATTGCAATTTTGAAATTCATGATTACATACTTAACGGGAAAAGTCGAAGTTTAGTCAGGGATGAGCCATTCCATAGATATTCATAGACTTTCCCTTCTCTTCCACATGAATAGAGTAGATCAGATGATGGACGAAATTTAATATCATTAACACCATTAGAACTGTGAACATTTGCTAAACATTGCCGTGCTTCAGTTTTCTCTCCATTAAATACTGATAAATGTCCATTAGCGTCTCCAGCAATCAGACAATTGTCAACATAAAGAGCACACGAAATCCAACGATGTCTAGATGGGGGTATTTGATAACAGTCTATTAGTTGGTCATTTATCCATAATTTTATTTCACCTTTGGGTCCTGATGTTAATAGCATATTTTCATCAACAATAAGACATGTGAAGATTTTTCCATTATGAGCTTGAAATGAATATTGTTCCTGCATAGATGAACCTTCAAGCACTTTAACATGACCTGTTTTGCTGGCGCAATAAATAAAGTTACCATCATCGATGCTTGTGATACAATAGGATTCGAAATCTTTGCCAAGATAAACTTTAGAGCCTTGGGTAATTTGATTATCAATGTGAATTAATTTTGAGCAAAATCCATCGTTGGAGACACACACCAATGAAATTTGAGATGAATCTGATTTGATGTAGTTGATTGATTTTGGGTAGGTTGAATTGAATTTGAACAGGTAACGATTAGGTTTGGTAAGTTTATCTTTTAATGACACGACACGGATACTTGAATCGCTGGATCCAATATAAATTACTTGTCGTTCTTGAGACGCTGCAAGACACCAAAGAGATGCATCTTCACGATTTGATTTGAATAATAATTTACCCGAGTCTGATGACCACAAACATATTTCATCATTTTCACCGCAGCTAAACAAATAACCACTTAGAGTTATTAACGACCAGATTCTTGCAGTATGGGAAAATAAACGATGACACAAAGTGAATTGTCCAGAAGACCAGGAATCTGATGAATCTAGCAAAGCACAATTGTGTTGCCAAATGTGTATACTGCGATCATCCGAAGCAGTAAACAGCTTTTTAGAGTTATAATCGTATTCTAGGGCAAAAATAGCACCATCGTGACCCTCTAAAGTATCAATAAGTTTGGTTGATTCACCAATCAAGCACCAAATCAAGGTTTGTTTGAAAACTGTCCCAGAGGCAATCAAAGCATTTTCAGTGGAGTCGATTGAAATTATTAAAGCTGAATAGAGGATACATTGAACAGAAGAGGAAACTTTTCTTGTGATTTGCTTGCTTCTCAGGTCAAAAATGGTGATTGAGTTAGATGATAATATTGCAAAAACTTTGTCGTGTTTCAATCTAACAGTCATGATCCAATCTTTAAAATAAATTGCTTCTTGGATTAAATCTGTAAATTAAGAAGATTAAGACATTAGAAATACCAGATTGACCGTTAAAATATACAGTAATGTATATGTAATTTTAAATCATAAGTTACCTAATTTTAAACAATTTGGCGTATGAGAGTTAGTTAAGTTGAAAACTGAAAGGAAACGATTGCCATTAACTGTCACAATCAGCCCATCATCGGTAGATGAAGTTTTTATTCCGTGAATGGATGACGAACAATTCAACCATTTAACTAAAATGGGTTTCCTATTATCGGGCCATTCTTTCAACGACCAAACTTCGAGCTTATTTCCAGATCCTTAACAGTAAAAAAATTCAATGGTATATCAATTAGAATGAAAGTTTTAACGGCTTACCTGCGAAAAGATAGTCCTTATGGACATTTAAAGCAGTTACTGGTGCCCAGCAATCGATATTTTTCACTTTTTGGGAAAACTCCATAACACCAAAATTGTAAAATCACGTAAAAAAGTTAACAAAAAATTCTATAAATTTTACAAAGAGCTCAAAATGATAAATCAAATCTCATTCTAAAAAGACATAAGGTTGCACATTAGTCAAAATTTTTTGACAGCAAAAAAATCGGGGTAACAATTAGCCATGAAAATATAATAATATAATCCAGTGAATTTCGTAAATTGATAAATCAAACGGTCATTTGAACATGTTTGGGAAACTTTGTTTACTATCTGGATGTCACGTGGTTCACAACTACACATGTTTCTTAACATCTGAGAAGATCTAGGGATTAACATGTGTTTCTGATGATTTTGATGCTTTTTAAGAATAAGAAGATTCAGTTATATTTATATTTCTCAAAGTAAATCTGTAAATTTGGCCTTATGGTGAGTTAATTGTATTTAATTTTAATTCCATAACTAATTTGATTTTGTGTTCATTTTCTCTTTCTTTTGAAGCGGTTGTCAAGAACGTTAGTTTGGTTATTTCATCATGGCCGGACTCAAGTTGTTAGAAATCTATTTCCAAAGCATAATACACTTTCACCAATCCATTCGGTACAATTGAGAAGATCATTCTCAAATGATAGTGCTAATGACGATGATAAAATCACTGAAGATCTAAATAATGACAGATATGTGAAAAAATGGTTGGCAACAAAAGTATTCGAACATCAAACCATTGATGACTTCAAACCTTTTCTCAAGAATAAAGAAGAGCTGGAAAAGATGGAGTGGATATTACAAGAGTATGAAATCATCAAATACGATACAAGTTTATGTCCTTCCTATCTACCAACTGAAAGAGTCAAAGAAATGGTGGAAATGTCAACTACACAAAAGCTACATTCGTATTTTCACTTTCTCTACAACCGAGAGAATCGCAAGAATGCTGCAAGACTGAGAAAGATCGAAAACAGGACTGAAACAGCGAAAGCATTGAGATTTGCTCATGATAATGACATAAAATTGGAAATGGGCATTAGTTATGACCCAGAAACAGGAAAACCCATTTATGGTAAATGGAGAAACAGTTGCTTCATCGACTTGGGTAAAAAACATGAATATACAGCTTTTCTTCCTCAAAACATTGCTGCAAGTCAATTTGGACAAAAGCTGATTATTGATTTCTCTTACGAAAACTGCATGCATACTCAGGAAAAGAAAAGCCTGGTTAAACAGTTGTGTTTTGGTTATCAAAAAATACGAGAGTCCGAAGATCCGTTTGACCTGTGGTTTTGTGGCTTAAATCCTAAAGAAAAGACTCATTCGTATTTAGATGAAGTTTTGGGTTGGAACCGTAACGCTATTTTCACAAATAGTTTCATCCACCGAACGGAAAGATCGTACCTAGATCTATTTCCTAAGGAAAAATTGGTTTACCTCTGTCCAGATTCATCTGTTGATTTACACAAATTTGATGATGAGGCTATTTACATAGTCGGTGGTTTGGTTGATAAACGCGTTATTAAGCCTGTTTCCTTAGCCAAATGTAAAAAAGAAGGGTTAAAAACTGCTCGTTTACCATTAGACCAACACTTATCAATGATAGGTAACAAAATATTAACTTTGGACCAAGTTTTGTGTATTCTGGTGCGTTTAAAAGAAGGCGTACCCATGAAGGAAGCGCTAGAAGAATCAGTTCCTATTCGAAAAATAAAGACTCCGGAACAAGTTGAACACGAAAGAAATAGACGATTACTTAAACTGACATTACAAAGAAAGCATAAAAATACATATCTGTAGATTAAAAATAAATCATCAGCTAAATAACCACTTAAGCTTACTTCATCAAGAACCAATGTAACTTCGGCTATTGTTAGATGTAAATTTTTATATAACTGGATTCGACCATATTTATCCTCTGTTGACATTTTAATGTATAAAGTTTGTTTTGAATTAAAATACAATCAAAATTGTCCTTTGGATATATTCAAAAATCGCTCTAGTCAAGTGTCTCCCTCTAATTTTCTGTTTCCATTTGACAAGAGATTTTCATGAAAATAAGCAACAAACAAATATTTCACTATCCATCATTCTCAAATTTTGAATCTCTTTTATTTTCTACCTGGTTAATTAGTTTATTTTTTACATTTGTAATTTACTCATTCAAGTCATTTGATACCATATTTCAATCAATTAGAAAAATTTAAAAATGGCATTAAAAATAGAAACCCGTTCAATTGAGGAAGCTTTGGCTCCATTAGTTCTTGAGGTAAGTCTTAGTATTTTTTTTATTTTTAGATTTCTAATATTGCATTATATTTTTATCTATCTTAGGTTACTACACTGGTGAACAATCAAGAAAAAAGGAAAGGTGGGAGATCAAAGAGACCACAAGTTTTGGTTGCCACAGTGGAAAAATCGATTCAGAATTTCATCAGTATTGGTGAAGAAATAGCCCGTGAAAATGATGACATTCAAGAAGAGATGAATAAGTGCATAGAAAAAGTTCGTGAGGCTGGACAAAATATGTGTGAAGCTTCTCGTGATTTTGCAGATGATCCCTTTTCGTCAGCTAAAAGGAGCAAAATGGTTCAAAACGCAAGAAATCTACTTTTTCGTGTAGCTGAACTTATAATTCTGGCTGACAGTGTGGACGTCAAAAATTTATTAAAATCTTTGGAAGCCGTTGAAGGTGATTTGAACAACGTTGCCAACGCTAACAGTCATGATGAGTTGATCGAGAACTTCAATAAGTTTGGCTTGAATGCGAATAATTTATTCTATCATGCTGCTAAAAGACAAAATGAACTAAAAGATTCTAAATTGCGTGATGATCTTGGTGCTGCTAGGGCTGTCCTCAAGAAAAACAGCATGATGCTTTTAACAGCTTCTAAGGTGTTTGTTCGTCATCCTGAACTGTCTGCTGCTAAAGAGAATCGTGATTTCATATTTAGACAAGTTTGTGAAGCTGTGAACACTGTGAGAGATGTTGCCAAAGGTAATAAACCCAAAGGCATAGGCGATTCCTATGATTTCCCTGGAGAAATGGCTTCAGCTTTAGACGACTTTGATGAAAGAATCATGATGGAACCATTGACTTACAATGAATCTACAACTCGACCAGACCTGGAAGCACAATTGGAAAGAATCATTAGTGGTGCGGCTTTGATGGCAGACTCTTCATGCACTCGTGATATTAGGAAGGAGAGAATTGTTGTCGAATGCAATGCTGTCCGTCAAGCTCTTCAAGATCTTTTATCAGAATATTTCGCCAATGTTGGATCGAAAGAGCCTTCTGAAAACTTGGAAAGAGCGGTTGAGCGGATGACCATTAAAACTAAAGATTTACGACGACAATTGAGACAGGCAGTCATTGACCATGTATCAGATTCTTTCCTGGAAACCAATGTTCCTCTTCTCGTTTTGGATGAAGCAGCTAGACGTGGTGACGAGGCCGAAGTTGAGCTTTACCAAAAAATGTTTGATGAACATGCTAAAAAATTGGTGGAGGTTGCTAGCCTTGCATGTAGTATGTCTAATAACGAAGAAGGTGTTCGTATGGTAAGATATGCAGCTCTTCAAATCAACAACTTATGTCCTCAAGTTATTAATGCTGCCAAAATCTTAGCAGCTCGACCGAAATCAAAAGTTGCTATTGAAAATATGGATGCCTTTAAAAATCTATGGGAAACTCAAGTTCGTATATTAACTGAAGCTGTCGACGACATCACCACAATTGATGATTTCCTAGCTGTTTCCGAAAGTCATATTCTAGAAGATTTTAAAGAATGTGTTTCAGCTCTAAATGAACATGATGGAGATAAACTCGATCGTATGGCTGGAGCTATAAGAGGACGTGCTGCTCGAGTTTGTAATGTCGTCTCTGCTGAAATGGATAATTATGAGCCCAACGAGTATACTGAAAGAGTTATGAATGCTGTATTTGAATTGAGAAATAGAATAATGCCTGCTTTTGCCAGTAAAGTGGAAAAGGCTGTTGAATTATTATCCAATAATCGATTAAAAGAATTGGATGATAACCAGTTTATTGACGCCTCTAGGATGGTTTATGATGGAGTGAAAGAAATTAGACGAGCTGTTCACTTTGATCGAGTAATTGATGACTTGGACTCTGAAACTGAAATTGAGTATGAAGATAATACTTGTGAAACTCGAAGTAAATCAAGCGTTGTCACTGATTTTGATGAATATCCTGAGATCAGTGGTTTGACCAATACAAGAGAAGCCTATAGGATGATACCTGAAGAAGAAAAACAAAAGATTGCCGCACAATTTGAGACATTTAGGACCGAAAAAGTAAGATTTGATCGAGAAGTGGCAAAATGGGACGAAAAGGGAAATGACATTGTTGTTATTGCTAAAAAAATGTGTTTCATCATGATCGAAATGACTGAATTCACTCGAGGTAAAGGTCCGCTGAAAACAACAATGGATGTCATCAGTAAAGCTAAAGAGATTTCCGAGTTAGGAACAACATTGGATAAACTAGCAGGTCAAATTGCTGAACAATGTCCTGAATCAGATACTAAGAAAGATTTACTTGCTTATCTCAAGAGAATTGAACTTTACTGTCAACAATTAAATATTACCTCAAAAGTAAAGGCCGATGTTCAAAACATATCAGGAAATCTAATTGTATCAGGGGTAAGTCAGACTTTTTATTTAAATTTAAAGAAAAGATTTCTCTTAATAATTATTTTTACTTTATTAAACAGTTGGACAGCGCAACATCCCTCATCCAGGCAGCCAAAAACTTGATGAATGCAGTGGTTCTCACTGTTAAAGCTTCTTATGTCGCGTCAACAAAATATACCCGAGGTGGAATCATAAGTTCACCAATCGTTGTTTGGAAGATGCGAGCTCCGGAAAAGAAACCTTTGGTTCGTAAAGAAAAGCCAGAAGAGGCCAGGGCTAAAGTTCGAAAAGGATCAACCAAAAGAACTGATTCCCCCTTAAAAGCTTTAAGCCAATTCCAAACAGATGACTTTTAGAGCCTTCGAGTAAAAATATTATCATACCTAAAAGCTATGTGCATTCAACTCCAATCCATTTTAATATTTTTTATCAAAACATGAGAGCCTTTTCTTCATAATCTACCTAATCATTTGCATTCTGAAAAATCTCAACCTTTTGGTTACAACTGACATTTATTACTTGTAAAAAATTATTTTACGAAAGAACACAATTTTTAAAGTTATAATTTATACAATCGACATTTATGTATTTATCAGCTTGTACAACTCCATTTTACAGGAGCTGCTAATCAAAAAATATCATGAATCTGACTTTTTGATAATCAAAAATTTCGTTAAATGCATTTAGCGGAGTGAAAAAGTTTGGACAGCAACTAACAAATTGAATAACTTTTTTTATTAAAAACAATGATTTGATTTCGTACTGAATCAAATTCACATTTTTTGCTGAAGCAATCCATCCCTAAACTGATACAATTATTTCAATAAACAATTAAACAGGGAAACAAAATCATAATTTATCCGAATCTTTTGGTCAATTGAATGGTTTGATTTGGCTGTGTTTGTACCAAAAACAAAATGATGGCTCAATAATGATGGCGGGTTTTGAAGTTGATTTTCAATTTTGGTTAACATTGATTCATTAGGTAAGGCTGATGATGATGATGATAGATACATTTAATAGTCAAGTTAATCATGGATAAAGATAATAATAAATTAAGAAGTAGAATGATTAGTTGAAATATTAACACAAAGTAGTTTTGATATTTTCTTATTTATATGCGTTAGTTTGGGCTTTTTTATCGCAATTTTATTACAATCTTTTCAATTAGTATTCCAATTTGTTTGGTTTAATTACCCTGCTTTTTTAATGGTGAATTAACCATTTCGGTGTTTTATTGAGAAAAAACAACAGGTTGTAATGTAACCAGCAGATGTCGCCAGTTGCGAAAGTACAAATTGTTTTGGTTTGTATTTGTATTTTGTTTTGTATTCAAAGGTGAATATAATTCATCTTATTCAATATTGAATTTGAAAATTCAGTTAATTCCATTATTAGCTTGATTGCTATTGTTTATTGGTTTTGTTGTAGCATTTATTAAATTGTTATTATTTTAGTTTATATCTTTGTTAATGGTGTTTCTTCAATGTTTTATTAAAGATGAGTTGGATCTGTTGGAGGATGGTGATGCTGATGATCATTTGGGTTATTACTGTTATTATTACTGGTTGATGATCGATTAGACCGGATGCCATTACATAATCGTGATTTTAATGCACTCGAACTAAACAGTCCATGATGATTTTTCCTTGGTTTATCATTAACTGGATCATCATCTGAACAACAAGAGAAATTAATAATTCCTTGAGAAGCTTCAGGAGTAAATGATATAAACTCGTGAACATCTTTATTACGATTAATAAGCTCAACATTATTTCCATCATCACCATCATAATCATCATAATCATCTTCATCGTTATCCTCATTTTGATCATGATTTAAGCCAACTCTATCATCATCATCAGTCATAATAATGTTTGTTTCTGTAGTGTTTTGGTGGTAAAGTAGATTAACAAGAGTAACTGCCTCACTATCATGATCAATTAGCTGTTGCTGTTGTTGGGAACAATTTGTAATACACTTGTTACCATTTTGATGTGAAAAACTATTTATATCCATTGAATGAGCACTTTCATTGACACTTGCAGTAACACTTTGACCGGTTACCAAAAGTCTCTGGGTAAGATTCATTGACGGCGAATCCGATAAATGATAAACGTAAACACCTTGGCATGGAGAACCAAGATTACAACCAAATGAGCTTCCCTGATGAGCAATCTCAGTCTCTCCTCCTACTCTCGAACCTCCGCTTGGGTCACCATTCAGTTTACCTGAACATCCACTGCCACTACAGCCAGGAACACAAGCATTGCCCGCAACTCCTAGACCGGCACCAGTTGTACCCTTAGTTGAGCCTCGAGTTGTCTTTGGGAAAACTGAATTTTCAACATGTAAAGCTGCATTAACATCTTTACCTGCAGCACAAGTAAAAGCTTTGGCAAAACTTTTCTTAAAATTGTCACTCAGAAAAGCGTACAAAATTGGATTTACCGCTGAATTGGCGTACGAGAGGCAACCTGCGAGTAACAATATGGATACACAAAGATCTGAGTGACGGACGTTGGGCTTTTGAAAGGTTATGTAAACCTGTCCTATCCAATAGGGAAGCCAACAGCCAACATAAACGGTAATCACTGTGAGTACCAAGTAGGTCACCTTACGATGGGAGCGTTTTTTTTCCTTTGATTTGTTTTTGGGTCCAACGGTTCGTAATTTACAGATGACCAGAAAATAGAATAAAAAGATGAGGATAAAAGGTATAAAAAATCCAAGGGTAAAAGAGTAAAGGGTGAAAGCCTTCTGACCGTTCATGTATTCATTTTCAGGGAAAACAATGTTACAGGATAAAGTGTTCTTTGGTTCATGGGAAAGGACGTTGGCGTACATGAAAATGGGAACCATTAGGAGAGCTGAAACTGTCCAAACGGTGAGGCAAATAAATTTGGCAATAAATGGTGTTCGATATCGTGGTGACGATATTGGATGGCAAACGGCAATGTAACGATCAGCGGACATAACGGTCAATAAAAGGGAAGAAGTAAATTGGTTAATTGAGGTTGTTATCATGTAAATTTGACACATTAATCGACCAAAAGGCCAAGATTTATATTTAACAGTGGCTATCAGAAAGGGTAAACCTATGAGAAACATTTCATCGGCCAGGGCAAGATTAAAGATGTACATGTTGGTCACTGTTTGCATCTTGGAGAAGCGTAGAACCACATAGATGACCAAAGTGTTGCCACAAAGTCCAACCAGGCAAACAATGCCGTACAAAATTTTGGTAAACTCAAGTACCAAGGCTGAATAACTACCAATGAAGGCATCTTCAGTGAAAATTGGTAAAGTTGAATTAGTACAATTTAAATATAAAGATTCTAGCGAAGTTGAATTGAGGGTCGAAGCTGGATTAAAGGTTAAAGAGTTGGACAGCGAAGAAGGTAAAGACGGAGACGATGACCCGTAAGAGGAAGTAGTTAAAGAGGGCGAAGAAGGAAAAGACAAGGAGAGCGGTGAAGATGAGGTGGAAACCGAAGAAGCAAGTGACGATGTAGATGAAGTTAAAGGCAAGCCTGAGTTGTCATAGGCTTGGCTTATGTTGCCCATTAAATGATCGGCCATTGAGGTTAACCCAAGCTGAAGCATACAATTGTTTACCCAACTCAAATTGTTGTAACCATTGAGACCTGGTTCAAGTATGTTACCAATTGGATCGGCCATGATTTCACATTAAACACAATTAACAACAACAATAACAATAATGGTAAAAGTAATGGTATCGATGGTGGCACTGATGATAAAGTCTAATCAAGCTCATTGTTTGGTGTCTTTTGGGTTTAAACCCAAAAGTATTTCAATATTTTTCAACAAATTACACAAAATGTTTATCAGCTTCAGAATATATTGCCCTTTATAATCACATTTCCAGATATATTTCAATTTTCGTCAATTTTATCATCAACTTGTCCCTTGGTCAACTCATAGTTCAACATTTTTCTATCCATTTATCATTGAATCAACAAGTTGCTTGAAAATTAATATCCTTTGGTAGTCCAGTTGCAACCTACAATGAAAAGAGACAAAAAATTATTTGTAGTTTATCACATTAACTTGAACCTGTGGAGGTGAAAGTGTAACTTGAAAAGTAAAGGTGAAAATGTTTCTTTTTCCTGTTCATGAAAAGTTGCTTTTTCTTGACCAGATGAAGCTAAAAATGCATTGAAAATGGCAACAATGAGAAACAAGAAAGGTCAAGGATACAAAATGTGTTGACAATCAATGGACTGTTTTTTGTCAATTTTCATGTTTGTTCATTGTGATTGAGCAGCTTTTATTGAAAGCGATAACAAGAGAGGAAACAAAACTACAATAATTTAGATAATCTTGTGAATTGAGGAAAACAATAAGAGCTCATTCCATTGAATAATAATGATAATAACACTGAAAGTTTGAATAAGATGAAAAGGAATGTCATTAACCTAATAAAGACACTTAAGGTTCGCTTTTACTTCTGTATTATTTTATTGATCAACAGCAAAAAAAATATGATTCTTTTAGTATTACTTGCTATTCATGTACAAAATGTATGATTATTTCATTACATCTTTGTTTTTTATTAACACTTTTATGATTATTGTGATTAAAATAACAGAAGGTGCAGAAGAAGAAAAAAAACACTAAGAAATTGGATGAAAAAAGAAGAAAAATATTGTTCAAAGCATCATTTCACTGAATAGAGTTGAGCTGAATTACGAGCAATATTAATTTTCTTTCTTTATTGTATTACTAAGTTATTTACAAAAGACCACAGAAAAATAATGATGATTATGATAATAATCCAAGTAAAATGTTTCAGAGTTGATGGTAAATTATGATTAGCATTATCATTTAGACAAATATTCATTATACAGGGCGAGTCAGCTTTTTTTTAAGATTCATTTGTTAGGCTGACATTATTTGTGAATAAAAGTAGATCAGTTATGAATATTAAATAATTTGGATGATTTAAAGCAAGCTTTAATGGCTCAGTAATCAATTTCAATATTTACATCACAAGTCTAAATGAGTTCTGCCATGATCAACGGATTTGCTTGAAAAATGCTTTTGTTTGCTTTAATTGATTACATTCAATTCTAGCCCCAAAATTCAAATTTAAATTTACCAATATTGAGCTTACGATGGAAATTTTCTTGAAAATTGAGCTTCATATCTTGTTCTGAAAATATCTGATCATTTAGATGAATTCAGAGCGAAAGTTGTGTAAATGAAGAGCAAATTGAATGAAAAGGTTTTACATTTAACGATTTTGTAAAGTCAATCATTTTTATAGATTCAATCGCCTTCGCTCTTCATTCCATGCATTCAACGAAAACGTCGTCAAGTGATTATCGTTGGAATATCGTCAAATTTTATAGAAATGTGCACAAACGTTGAACCTTTTATTAAATTGCTTCGTATTTTCCATTAGCATGGTAAAGTTAATTGTCGAGATAATGTGAATAACATAACTTATGACATTAGTTATAATCTTTTCTTTACTTTGATATAAAATTTTTCATTCTCCTCATAGGCTTCTGTTATCATTGTAATGGTAGAGTTTTGATAACAATGCTAACTGTGACGATATTAAAAGTTCTTGAGGGCATTTCATGTCTCTTTGTCTTCCTCATCACCATTATCATCATGATATCCAAAATTTTAACCCAAAAAAAACCAAAAATTTGATTCTCCTTTTTAAATTGTAATTGTTTTCTTTTTCGTCTCTTTTCAGATAATTTTATACTTTTTCCCTGTTTTATCTTCTCATGTTGACATTGACGTTTAAAAACTTGCAACAACAATAAACAATGATAACCATTATTTATTGTAATAGAAATTTTTAAAATGGAAAATGTTTCGAGGTAAAAACCTATTAAACGCAACTTTTTGAATTACAGGGAGAGCAACATAATGTCGAGTTAAAAAAACTAATAACATGACAAGAATAATAATGGCAACAGATAAATATATTTTAACTAGAAAATGAACATTTTTTTATATTTTGTGCTATTTTCAGTTCTCTTTCCTTTTCTAGATTTTGTTGATTTAGACTTGAAAATTATAATTAAAAAATAAAAATAAAAATTCCGCCCAAAGCTGAATCAATATCTTACGCCAACGACATTAAAAGCAGCAAATGCATTGGATTGACTCGAATTAAAATTTGCTGAAATTCGACGAAAACTTCAGACTAAAGACTTTAGATATTTTCTGAAACTTCATTGAAAACTTCAGAAAAAGTCTAAACTCTTTAGTCGGTTGAACTTTCCATTCACAACTGAAATCAAGAGTTAATTTTGTTGATTTGGGTTTTAAAGAAACTAAACAAATTTCGTTTCTTGACTAACATTGTACGAATAATGATCGACGATTGTTTACGACTTTCAAATCTATTGATGGTTGATGGGTTAGGCTCGCTGAAACAGTCTTGATTTTCAGCATGCAAGTTGAGTCTTGAAAACGATCTGTTTTTTACGAAAAATTTCATGTTCGACCAATCAATTTTTGTCCAACTTTGACAGAATCACGAAAAGGTTTTACAAAAGTAGACGGTTGCTTCATTGGAAATTAGTTTCAAGATAAAGTGGACCTCGAAAACATGGAAAGACTCAAGACACAATTCTGTTCGATTTTTTGTCGATTGAACCATTTTCCTCTTTACATTGTTGACATTCAATGATCCTATTTAGGTTATCAACAAATTGAGATTTCACTGTTTACATTTACTTTTTGCTCAAGTTCACTTGGAAACTTTGAAGAAGTAAAAAAGAAGTGAAAAAAAGCGAAAAATCACATCAACAGTTAACACTAAACCAACAAAAAAAGATCATGTTCATTAACACTGCCACTGCAAATGAAGAGTGAAAAAAACGAAGGTGAAAAAACAGCGAAACCTGTAATTGGATTTTCCTTTTTTTTCCCCTTATTTCTATTAAAATTAAAACTCGCCCATTTTGTCATCATAAAACATTCAACAGATGAAACTGAACAATATTACCTTTTACTTTTTACTTTCCCTGAAGAGGCCAAAAGATTTGAATTAAACATGAATCGAGTAAAGAGAGAGAGAGAAAAAAGTCGAAAAAAAGGTAAAAATCATCTTCTCATTTCATGTAAAATAACCAAGATTTTCCCCTCAAAACCATTTCCCATGAGCAAAGGATGAACATGAACATTATCACAATAAGAAAATTGAGAAAAGAAGAGAAAAGTTTCATTCCATGGAAACTTCAGATTCTCTCATCTCGACTAAATTAATAAACATGTTGAGTTGAATTTTCAATCAAATTATATTCCAACGTGTCAATCTCGACAATAAAAATGATCAATTCTAATGAATTTTTCACTTTTCAAGGCAAGAAAACTTTTCTTCTGAGTTTCTCAAATTCGCCATTCATGGAAAGAGTTTTGTCACCAGAATAAAGGTTATCGAGAAGAAAACATTTTCTCTGATTAACTTGAAACTTAATGAATAAATTATTTGACATTTTTTTCTTTTCACTGTTTGTCATCTTTAAATCATTTTAGCTGATCATCTTTTCAATGTTTCAGTGTTTCCATTCACTTTGTTTCTCGCAATTGTTTGAACATTTCATTTGATTATTGTCAAACCAGTTAATGAATAAACTAAACACAAGTTGAACTGAAACGAAGTATTAGCCAAGAAAAAAAAGACAATCACACAAAACAAACAAAGGTATTGCTAACAATATCAACGAGTTTTCCTCGAAATTTCAACCTTTTCTTTCATTTCATTTTCTTAACGAACCTCTACTTTTCACTTTGCCTTATTAGATGTTGTGATACATTTTGTGTACTTTTGGTACGATTGTTTTGACAGTTGATTGGTTGACACTTTTGTCTTGTTGTATCACAAGATGAGTGAATCAATTGCTCAGAAGCTGGGGACAGAAACACGGTAACAAACAAACAAATCTGTCATCATTTCAATTCGTTGAGCAAGTAAATAGAGAAAAGAAGGAAATCTTTTCTTCTTCTCTCAATTCCTTTGCATTAGTAAAATTAAATGTAAGATTTGTGTTTACTTCATTTTAACTTTATTGGATTGATATTTTGACACCTTTTACATTGTTCAATTTAATGGTTATAAGCACATTCAACATTGTTTCATTTTCATATTCAACTTTCATTCCTTCACTTTTAATTCAACTCTCAAGTTTTGATTAAATTTCATAAGCTTTACGAGATTAAAAAAAGGAATCTTTCAGAGTTTTCCAGATGAAAAGACATTTCCAAATTGATTCATCAATTTTGGGTAAAGAATTTCAAAAATTACAGATTTTTCCATCAAAACATTTAATGTGCTTTCAAAATGGTTGTTACAGCTTTCAAATTGAAACTTTCAACATTATAAACTTTTTCGAATAAATTTTTAGTCCATTTTCTCTTGAAAGCAACAGATTTTGGAAAAGGTTTGTTTCCAATCTTTCAAGGTTCATATTACTTTGGAAATGCCCGGAAACTTGAAGTTTAGTCTGAAATTTTACTGTCAATTTCCGATGAAAATTTCTCTTGATTGTGAGCTTTTCCAAATGATTGATAAATGTGAAAGATAAAAGATCGAAAAGTTGCTGTTTTCCTTTACTCTGTCAATGAACCATTCATTTACTTGTAATAGTAGGCTTTAGTGGAATCAAAGAATTGAAGGAAAAATGAGAAAAAAACAAACATGATCC